CTGTATCTAACCACCCTGCTGTCCCTAGGCCTGGCCAGAGAGCAGATGGTATTTAGGAATACTTCCCTCCCCACCAAGCACTTAACACGGTCCACTGCCTAACAGGAAAATGCGCTAAAAAGGGAGCTCCTCCAGCAACTGCATGGATTTGCAAGAATGAAATATTCTTACCTAGTATCAGTAAGAACCATGAGGGTCTCTTTCCAAGCCTCCGTGGGCTGCAGGATGATCCTCCATGGCGCCTCCATGGTCGGGGAGTCTGAGCTCAGGGCCTGGAGCGCCTCTTCCCGCCCGGCCCTCGCAGTCTGAGCTCAGGGCCTGGAGCGCCTCTTCCCGCCCGGCCCTCGCAGTCTCAGGGCCGTTTCTCACACTTTTCCCCTCACGGCCCGGCAGCGTTTGGCCCTTTCCCCAACACCCCTTCCCCGAGGCGCTGCCAGCCCGGCTGAGGGGCTCAGCTGTGCCCTGCGCTGGGGCGGCCGGAACCGGCTGGAACCGGCTGGAACCATCTGGAACTGGCCGCGTCTGGATCGGGGCAGCCCCTCAGCTCTGAGGGGCCCTGCAACCCTCGGGCGCTGGTACCACAGTGTGGTGCGGTCTTAACGAGCGCCTGGTCACTAGGTGTCCTGTTTCACTCTTTGTTAAAAGGAGAGAGAAGTGAACTGTGCCATCACCTTTCCACAGGACTGCAGCCTCTGCCTCCATAAATCCTGTCCTGGTGTTTGAAAGGGGGGTAGCACATCCTGACTGAGGTCCTGAGACCTCGCTGCACCAGAGGTTACTGCAGTGTAACCGCAGAAGCAGCGGTTTGGCATCAGCAACACCCACTGCACGTGGCATCTACTGGGTTGAAATGTGTTGCAGAAGTGCAAAATTTTATTGTAAATCTTCTAATATGTCATGATTTAACCATATCATTCCTGAAGACATTGTAAGGAAGAGGTTCTGAGAAACTGTAGCAATCTGGTGGGAAGACCAGCAGTTGATTTCTCACCTCATGGGTATCTTTTGTTTGTAGCAGTAGCTGGTGAAAAAAGACTAAATGGAAAGTGTACAGTGTTTGTATCTTCTTTTTTTTTTTTTTTTTTTTTTAAATAATGAGAAGGCAGCAACTTGCTTTTTGTATTTGTGACAGGACAGGTGGAATCCAGATTGTGTATTTATTTTATAATAAACACTTTTTAAGAAAAGCAAAAAACCCTAATAAGCATAATTTAGTAAAATGCAGTGTTGCATTTTTCCAGTTTCTTGTCACTTAAGACAACAAAATACAGTGTCATGTTTTTCATTCTCTTCATGGGATGTATGTGTTACAGTACTTATTTATGTACTTGTTATATCACTTTGACCTGGTTTGATAAATTAATAAACTCTGAAGTTGATAATAAAACAAGATAGTCTGTGTATGATGCTGTTTGGTCAAGATATTTGGTTTCAGTTCCCTGTTTGCAGTGCTGCTGCTGCCACCTCAGAGAAAGCCTAAACCTGCGTGCCCGGCTGGGTGCAGTGCCTGGCTGCCTGCTGTGGAATCAGGTACTGAGCTATGGAAGAGTCAGATTCAAGACTCAGACTGCTGGACAGGGTGCAAAGTAGGGCTTCAGCACTCACCCACGTCCTCAACACTTCTGAAAATCAGCCACATAAAGCTTGCAGCAGGACAGCTGTGTCCCCAGTGCTGCAGTAGTTCATTCTTTCGGGTCTTCTCTCAGGAACACCTCCTGCAGAATTTTGCAAACCAGCTTACGCTAACACTCATCTGAAAGGCTACAGAAATTATCACAACCCGGGTAATGTGAACAGACAAATTAGAAAGATCAGCAGGCTGCTCAAACTATCAGTTTACTTAAATTGTTTAATCTCAAGAGCCACGACAGTTTGCTTTCAGGACTTGTTAGTAGGGCAACAATAGTGTGCCAGGAAGACAGCATAGGACCTGCAATATATAGATTTTCTGCTCAGAGGTATGTTTGACCTTTGGGAAATACTCAATATAGTTCAGCCTTCACTTACCCAGCATGATTAATTTTCAAAATCAAAGCATTGACATCTATATATGGAAATCAAGTAAAGAAGAAATCAAGCATTGACAACTGAGAGAACAGTACAGGACATACTGCTTTCTGAGCAATACATATTCTGAAGCTCAAAATAATTGGGGAAATGTTGATTGAATCAATATGTGCTAATGACTAAAAAGAGATGGTCTTAAGAAACATAAGAAAAACATGTAAAACTAACTCACAGGTGGCTAACAGTGTAACTAAAATGGAGAGTATCCACCTTGGGAAAGGTGATTGCTCACAGTGGTTCCACAAGTAATCACTTTGTATCAATAAGTATATCAAATCTGAAAGTTAAGATGTCTCTGGAAATTCTTCATGAAATTAATTTCTTTCATCACAGCCTGCATATTCATGTCAGTCACCTTTTTATTTTCACAAGGCATCTGTTACAAGAATCCTTTTCATGAGGACACACCCCAGGCATGCATACCTGCTCTGATCTCCTGTACCAGCTCCCTTCTCCAAGTCTAACTATCTGAGGGGCTTTAGCCTTCTTAGTAGTTGCAGACTGAAAGTCATTAACAGGGTTGCACAGCTGCATCCTCACTGAATGTATTCTCTTGATTTCATAACATCCAAGCACATTAAATCTTATTTCTCACTTCACTCCTATTCCCCTCTCACATTAACACAGATCTCTGACTCCACAGGCCAGGAGAGGCTGGATACCGAGAGGAGAGCCCTGTTTACTGCTATGTTCTTCTGAAATTACTTTTAAACATACTTACACAAGTACAAGAGAAAGAACGTGTCAGCCTAACACTCTCAGCTTCATACACTCTCCATTAAAAAAAAAAAAAGGTCAAGCCATTTCACAATTCAGATGATGAATACTTCCAAAATAATTGATAGCACATGAAGTATTTGCGTAATATTGGTGTACTCTGGTGCCTATTGTGTTATCCATCTAAGATAAAAGCCAAGATTTTGGAGATTTATTGTGGGAGGGGTGAAGATTGACAAAGTTAATCCTTATTTCCATTTATTGCTTTTGTTTGGGTTTGAAAAATGTCTTCATCTTCTGATCTGAGGTTTTGGACTGTTTTACTTCTTGAGTAAAGTATGTCTGCAACTACATGAGCATATGAATATGAACCCACAACCCTGCCCTTCTCACATAACACCGACCCAACTGTGAGCAAGAATGCAAAGCATCCAAAGCAAAAACAAATAATTGATTTTAACCCAGCAAAACAGTTTTTAGTGTAGACACACCAGAAGACAGTTCAGCATGTTCAGAAAAGGCAGTGAGCCTTATTTCACTGCCACTCAAAGTAAAAACCCCCAATCTGTCCTCAAATGACCTCAGCTCAAAAGACAGATAGTACTGCACACTAAGTTTTAAGTGTAGCTGCTTCTCAAACAGCACCCATTGTTGATCTCTCCACCAAGATCAATACTATCTCCTATAGATTTAATTCTTCTGTTTCTCTCTTCTTTATTTATTCATTTCAGGATCACAACATCACAAAATCAGGTGTGTGGCCAAGATAAATTAAAACTACATCCTATTCCCGCTGAGGTAAATAGCAAAACTCTCAATCCCTTTAAGAAGGGGTCCCTGATGAACTCCCACTGATACATACTGTATGGGCATTAAACACATTTTAGCATGCTCTAGTATTTAATGTGTACCAAAGGTACATTTTATACTATAGAGAGATTCCCAGCCACTTAATGTTTCTTAGCCAACACTGTTACTCTAGCCTGTTCTTCCCCACCTCAGTTCTCCCCTCTGCCAACAGCTAGGATGGGAAAATGAATTTGAGTCCCAATCGTAGAGGCATAAATAGGAGTCAAGAGATGCTTAAGGTTCATGTACTGGGGTATTTTTGTTCCACATCTCTAAATGGGAAGATTCAGACTTTCCCATTAAAACATCTAGATGGAAATTAATATGATATTTATTTTTATTTTCATTTCCTGTACTAAAAGCGTTGTGCAGCATGGATAGGTTGTTTGCTGTTAAATATGCAGTTTGAGGCAGCTGCAGTTCAGTAGAGACTGAAATAGTTCCTATATAAACTTTTTGTAGTGCACTCAGGGTGGAATGGGAAATTCTGTAGAAGCATCAAACAAGAAATGTGAGCTCTTGGGCCAGTTTTTTCGTTGGTGAAATGAAAAGACATTATGTAGAAGTATTTATGGTTACAGCTGCATAACTATCTCATCAACTAATAGACAACAGTCATCAACTAATCAATCTTCACAAAGTTCTTCCTAGAAAAAGGAAGATTTGATTGTAAATACAGTTATTTAGTTAACAGAAAAATATTCTCAGAGACACATGTACAGCTCCTAGTGATGATATGTTCCAGAAAGCTGTGCTTTGGCATCTGAGATCGTATTTTCAATTCTGTGCTATTAGAAAGTATTTCCTTGCTTTGATTGCCATATAATATATTCACATAAGCTAAGTCTCACAAAATCTTTGTTTGTAGATCTAGCCAGACAGTGGCATCCTTTCAAAAATGGTCCAACAACAGCATTAAAAAACA